TCATTCTATCTACCCTATTAGAGACCTGAAGACCCGATTACCCTATAAATCTTCTATCCACCCTATTAGAGACCTGAAGGACCGAGATACCCCTATAGAACCCTTCTATTACCCCTAGTAAGAAGACCTGAAATGACCAGGATACCTCTATAGAGAAACCATTATATCACCCAATTGGAAACCCTGAATGACCAGAAACCCTATAGAAACATTCAAGTCATCCTATTAGAGACCCTAAGGACCAGATACCTCTATAGAAACAATCAAGTCACCCTATTAGAGAACCTGAATGACCAGATACCCTAGTATAATCATTCTATCACCTCTAGAAGGAGACCAGAATGTGACCAAACCACAGAAGCAACATTACTATTTTATGACGCCTATTAGATACCGAGAAGGGACCTAGCATACCAATGCGAAAAGAAAACATATCACCCTATTAGAGACCTGACGGACCAGATACCCTATAGAATCAATGACTAACGACCCTAATTAAGAGACCTTAAAGACCAAAACCCTATAGGATACATTCTCATGCACACCCTAAGTAGCGACCTGACAGGACCAGATAGCCCGTATAGGATCATTCTATCACCCTATTAGAGACCTGAAGGACCAGATACCCTATAGAATCATTCTATCACCCTATTAGAGACCTGAAGGACCAGATACCCTATAGAATCATTCTATCACCCTATTAGAGACCTGAAGGACCAGATACCCTATAGAATCATTCTATCACCCTATTAGAGACCTGAAGGACCAGATACCCTATAGAACCCTTCTATCACCCTATTAGAGACCTGAATGACCAGATACCCTATAGAATCATTCTATCACCCTATTGGAGACCTGAAGGACCAGATACCCTATAGAATCATTCTATCATCCTATTAGAGACCCGAAGGACCAGATACCCTATAGAATCATTCTATCACCCTATTAGAGACCTGAAGGACCAGATACCCTATAGAATCATTCTATCACCCTATTAGAGACCTGAAGGACCAGATACACTATAGAATCATTCTATCACCCTATTAGAGACCTGAAGGACCAGATACCCTATAGAATAATTCTATCACCCTATTAGAGACCTGAAGGACCAGATACCCTATAGAATCATTCTATCACCCTATTAGAGACCTGAAGGACCAAATACCCTATAGGAATCATTCTATCACCCCTATTAGAGACCTGAAGGACCAGATACCCTATAGGATCATTCTATCACCCTATTAGAGACCTGAAGGACCAGATACCCTATAGGATCATTCTATCACCCTATTCGAGACCTGAAGGACCAGATACCCTATAGAATCATTCTATCACCCTATTAGAGACCTGAAGGACCAGATACCCTATAGAATCATTCTATCACCCTATTAGAGACCTGAAGGACCAGATACCCTATAGAATCATTCTATCACCCTATTAGAGACCTGAAGGACCAGATACCCTATAGAACCCTTCTATCACCCTATTAGAGACCTGAATGACCAGATACCCTATAGAATCATTCTATCACCCTATTGGAGACCTGAAGGACCAGATACCCTATAGAATCATTCTATCATCCTATTAGAGACCCGAAGGACCAGATACCCTATAGAATCATTCTATCACCCTATTAGAGACCTGAAGGACCAGATACCCTATAGAATCATTCTATCACCCTATTAGAGACCTGAAGGACCAGATACACTATAGAATCATTCTATCACCCTATTAGAGACCTGAAGGACCAGATACCCTATAGAATAATTCTATCACCCTATTAGAGACCTGAAGGACCAGATACCCTATAGAATCATTCTATCACCCTATTAGAGACCTGAAGGACCAAATACCCTATAGGATCATTCTATCACCCTATTAGAGACCTGAAGGACCAGATACCCTATAGGATCATTCTATCACCCTATTAGAGACCTGAAGGACCAGATACCCTATAGGATCATTCTATCACCCTATTCGAGACCTGAAGGACCAGATACCCTATAGAATCATTCTATCACCCTATTAGAGACCTGAAGGACCAGATACCCTATAGAATCATTCTATCACCCTATTAGAGACCTGAAGGACCAGATGCCCTATAGGATCATTCTATCACCCTATTAGAGACCTGAAGGGCCAGATACCCTATAGGATCATTCTATCACCCTATTAGAGACCTGAAGGACCAGATACCCTATAGAATCATTCTATCACCCTATTAGAGACCAGAAGGACCAGATACCCTATAGAATCATTCTATCACCCTATTAGAGACCTGAAGGACCAGATACCCTATAGAATCATTCTATAACCCTATTAGAGACCTGAAGGACCAGATACCCTATAGAATCATTCTATAACCCTATTAGAGACCTGAAGGACCAGATACCCTATAGAATCATTCTATCACCCTATTAGAGACCTGAAGGACCAGATTCCCTATAGGATCATTCTATCACCCTATTCAAGACCTGAAGGGCCAGATACCCTATAGGATCATTCTATCACCCTATTTAAATGAGAACCCAGACGTGCCCCCGTGATGAACCGCCAAGTAGAATACATTCAAACACCTGCAATATGAGACGCGTGACGTACCAGAAACCCTATAGAACAATCTATCACCCTATTAGAGACTGAAAGGCCAGATACCCTATAGGAACATTCATCCCACCTATTAGAGACATGAAGGACCAGATTACCCTATAGAATCATTCTATCCCACCCTATTAGAGACTCAGAAGGACCTGGAGACTACCCTATAGAAGTCATTCTCGCGTCACGTCCTATAAGAGACCTGAAGGTACCAGATACCCTATAGAAACATTCAACACCCTAATTAGATACCCGGAATAACCAGATAACCCTATAGATCATTCTATCATCCCAATAAGAGTACACTTATAAGTGGTGCCAGTGATAAACCCTATAGGAACAATTCTAGTCACGCCAATACGATACCAGCCAGTCCACAGCACGCCCACGCGACATCGCTTACAAGATCACCCAAAAAAACCAGAAGGACCCATAAACCCTATAGAATCATACTATCACCCAAAGTCTAGAGACCTGAATGACCATATACCCTATAGAATCAGTTACTAATCACCCTATTAGAAGGACCTGAAGGACCAGGATACCCAAGACGGAATCAAACTATCACCCTATTAGAACCTGAAAAGGACCAAATACCCTATAGAAACATTCTATCCCCTATTAGAGAACAGAAGGACCAGATACCTATAGAATCAGTTCTATTCACCCTATTCGTAGACCTGAAGGACTCAGATACCCTAAAGAATCATTCTACGACCCTAGTTGAGATACCTGAAGGACCAGCATAGCCCAAGACAATCATTCTATCACCCCTAGTTATAGACCTGGAGGAACCAGATACCCTATAGAATCATTCTATCACCCACAACGCTTCCAGAGAGGTCCCTCGAAACCCTCATGGTAACATACACTCACCCTAAAGAGATGATACCTGAAGGTGACCAGATTACCCTCACACTTGACACCAACACACACCCAAATACGAGACCTTGCATGACCAATACCCTATAGAACAAACTAACAGCCGGCAACTATGTAAGAGACCAAAGAGGTGCAAGCTAGCCCTATGAGGATCCTACTATCACCCTATTAGAGACCATAGAAGTCACCATATACCCAAAGCAACAAGATCTAATCACCCAATATAGAGACCAAGAAGACCCAGATACCCTATAAACCATTCAAAGTCACACCGCTAGTTCGAGACCTGACCGTCCCAGCTATCCCACTAAGTCACCCAACTAACACTCCCTAAAAGGAGACCTGCACGGTAACCATAAAGGGCCCACAGTATAAACACTTCAATCCCCCACATAAAGGCAACCTGCCGTTGACCCCTTAACCCCACACTCCACCAACAACGACCCCCACAACTCGCCAATCGCCCTTGCCCATGTCACCCGCTCTCGTCCACAAACACACGACCCAGACGGATACTCTCCCATCATGGACCATATACCCAATCGAACACCAGACTACATCACCCTATGATATCGGACCTGACGGACCAAGAACCCAATAGAATCATACAAACACCCGTCTAAATAGAGTGATTTTCTGAGAGGACCAGATACCCTATAGAATCATTACAATCACCCTAAAGAGCCTGGAGCGACGTCAGAATCCCCTAAATAATCATTCAAGTCTACCCACGAACGCGCCCTGCAGGAACCCCAATCCCCTGAATCACACGAATCAAGGGACCCCCAACTAAAAGAGACTTGCAGGACCCTAATACCTCACTATACACAAACAAGCCCCCTCTAAGAGACCAGAAGGACGCGAGATGCCCTAAAGAAAGCATACTATCGACCCTATACAAGACCATGAAGACCATAGCCCAAGTAGAATCATTCAATCACCCTATTAGAGACCTGAATGACCATATACCCTATAGAATCATTCTATCACCCTATTAGAGACCTGAAGGACCAGATACCCTATAGAGTCATTCTAACACCCTATTAGAGACCTGAAGGACCAGATACCCTATAGAATTATTCTATCACCCTATTAGAGACCTGAAGGACCAGATACCCTATAGAATCATTCTATCACCACTCTAAAGGGCTGGAGGTTTTTTTTTGTTTTCTTCTTCTTGTTAACATTTAAATGTGCACCGCTGCTTGTCCTGCCTTTTTCCCCCCAAATTTATCTCAAGTGTTTGTTTACTACTGGATTTGATTGGTCCAAGGAGCCCATTGAGTGCTAGTCTATTTCTATTTCCGCTGTATGCTTAATTAATAAAACATTGTACAGAACATAAATGTATACACTTCGGAAAATAAACAACTTTAATTTAATCAATATACACATTGCGGAAAATATTCATTGTTTGCAGTCTAACTGAACTATTTCTATATTTTTGCCAGCCCCTGTTTTAAAAGCTTAGCTCCGCCTCTGTGGGGAAACTCCAGCTTCAGGCGGTTCAGCTTTCGGCCACACGGGGGCGCTGATCTGCGGAATCCACAGAGAGGCGAAAGTTTCTGCAGCGGGAAGGTTTTTACAGCTGATGGAGGATTTAATGACGCGTTTCAGCCATTTCCCTCCACTGTGACCCAGCTGCTGCTCCTCCAGAGGAACTGGTGTCAAACTGGTATCAAACTGGTCTCCAGACTGGGAAAGCTGGACCCAGAACTGCCTGGAAAAGTTTTCCGAGCTCGCGCTGATTGTACATCCTGTGAGACACTTATGATGATGTCACTGACACCCGTATGACCAAATAAGGGAAGGGACACATGAAACTCGGCTTTGATGCGGACCGTCTTCAGACCGGTGAGCAGCGTTTCAAATTGGACCGACTGGTTCCGACCCACCGCCCGCCTCCAGCCCGCGGCTTCAGCTCCTTTCTGGGGCCACAGAGCGAACGGCTCCGCCCTGAGAAGCTGCTCCGGTTCTAACCGGAACCAGAACCCAGGCAGCCGGACCCCGGAGGACTGAGGGGCCCCGGAGGGACCCGGTTCCTGAAAGTTGGGCAGAAAAACATGAGCTGCAAAACGGAGCGATAAAAGCGGCGGTGTTCGTGTCTGTTCGGCTTCACTTCGGCTTTCTAGGTGGGACCCGGAGACCCGGACCCGGAACACTCCCCAGAACTCGGAACCAGGATCCCAGCTGAGAAATGAGCGGAGAAGAGGAGAGACTGAAGCTGGTGGTGGTGGGAGGAGGAGGGGTGGGGAAGAGCGCGCTGACCATCCAGTTCATCCAGGTGGGTTCAGGTTCGGGTTCAGGTTCGGGTTTAACCGGGTCTGGAGGTTCTGATGTTTGTAGGGGATCCTGCAGTAGAAGTGATGCTGCTGGATGAGGGTTTGTTTAGAACCGAACCGAGTTTCCAGCAGAACTTCTCCAAAGCGAGAGGAAGAAGAACTGAAATTGATCCTGGATTTTTTTCACAGATGTAAAAAGTCCAGGTTTGAAAGTTTCTCACTGACGTCAGAAGAACCTGGACTGGTTCCATCTGGAGCTCCCCCCCCCTATGGACCCGGTTCGGTTCTGACCTCAGCCAGATGTCAGTGGGACCTCTAAACTTGCCAGATGGTTGCTTTTGTAATTAGAGTTAATTTTCCTCCAGATGACCTTTGCCCTCATGGAGGAGCGGTTCTGGTGGACCTTTGAGACGCGTGGCTGATGATGTGATCAGCGGCTCGGCGCTCTCATTAGTTCTCCTGTTTCAGAGGATCTTCAAAGGTTCCTCTAATAAACATTAGAAAGGAGGAAGCGTCCTGTGAAGCTATCCGTGATCCATCTTCTCCTCATGCTGATGATGGGCTGAGGACATGAAGACCTCAGTATTGTCTTGGTCTGAGTCGGTCCAGAACATCAGACTCTGGATCAGTTCTGGTTCCTGCACTGATCCTCATCTAGAAGATGAAGCTTGGTGTGTTTCTGGGGAGTTGGGTGGGTTAGGGTTTCTGACATCTTTGGGTCTCCTAGAAGACCAAGAGGCTGGATCATCTGGTACCACAGTGGCTTAGATGCTGCAGGACTTCAGCTGGAAGATGTTTGCTTAGAGAAGAGCAGGAAAAATCATCACACCCTGTGACCAAATATCTGTTACCTTATGAGGACAGAAGGACAATTTCACTTCCTCATGAGGAAGGTTCAGTTCTTGGGTTATGTTTAGGGTTAGGGGGTCTGGGTCGGTAAGAGGGTCTGGGTCGGTTGGGGGGGTTCTGGGTTGGTCATGTTTAGGGGGTCTGGGTCAGTTAGGGGGTTCTGGGTCGGTCATGTTTAGGAGGTCTGGGTTGGTAAGAGGGTCTGGGTCGGTTGGGGGGGATTCTGGGTCGGTCATGTTTAGGAGGTCTGGGTTGGTAAGAGGGTCTGGGTCGGTTGGGGGGGTTCTGGGTTGGTCATGTTTAGGTGGTCTGGGTTGGTAAGAGGGTCTGGGTCGGTTGGGGGGGTTCTGGGTCGGTCATGTTTAGGAGGTCTGGGTTGGTAAGAGGGTCTGGGTCGGTTGGGGGGGTTCTGGGTTGGTCATGTTTAGGGGGTCTGGGTCAGTTAGGGGGTTCTGGGTCGGTCATGTTTAGGAGGTCTGGGTTGGTAAGAGGGTCTGGGTCGGTTGGGGGGGATTCTGGGTCGGTCATGTTTAGGAGGTCTGGGTTGGTAAGAGGGTCTGGGTCGGTTGGGGGGGTTCTGGGTTGGTCATGTTTAGGTGGTCTGGGTTGGTAAGAGGGTCTGGGTCGGTTGGGGGGGTTCTGGGTCGGTCATGTTTAGGAGGTCTGGGTTGGTAAGAGGGTCTGGGTCGGTTGGGGGGGTTCTGGGTTGGTCATGTTTAGGGGGTCTGGGTCAGTTAGGGGGTTCTGGGTTGGTCATGTTTAGGAGGTCTGGGTTGGTAAGAGGGTCTGGGTCGGTTGGGGGTGATTCTGGGTCGGTCATATTTAGTCTGGGTAAGTCCTGTTTAGTCTGGGTTGGTCATGTTTAGGGGGTCTGGGTCAGTTAGGGGGTCTGGGTCGGTCATGGTTAGGGGGTCTGGGTCGGTTGGGGGGGATTCTGGGTCGGTCATGTTTAGTCTGGGTAAGTCCTGTTTAGTCTGGGTTGGTCATGTTTAGGGGGTCTGGGTCAGTTAGGGGGTCTGGGTCGGTCATGTTTAGGGGGGTCTGGGTCAGTTAGGGGGTCTGGGTCGGTCATGTTTAGGGGGTCTGGGTCAGTTAGGGGGTCTGGGTCGGTTGGGGGGGATTCTGGGTCGGTCATGTTTAGTCTGGGTAAGTCCTGTTTAGTCTGGGTTGGTCATGTTTAGGGGGTCTGTGTCGGTTAGGGGTCTAGGTCGGTCATGTATAGTGGGATTGTCCATTGAAATGAATGGACAGTCCCTTAAAGGACAGTGGGATCTAATGTGTTTGTAAACAGTCTCTAATTCTCCGCCCTGAATCTGTCCTCTAGTCCTACTTTGTGTCAGACTACGACCCCACCATTGAAGACTCCTACACCAAGGTCTGCACCGTGGACGGGAAGGAGACCCGGCTGGACAGTAAGGAAGCACCACATCACACAGCAGGTTCTGGGTCTGAGGTGTCCCTGCTCCTCGTTTGGACTCGTTTGGACCTGCAGCCTGATTCTAAGCGGCTACGGTCTTTAGAAGGGACTGGATGTGTCCCTGATTGTCCCCACTGAGGGACGCTGGTTGTATTCTGTTCTATGACCTTCCTGCCAAAGTACTCACACCCTTTAGTGTCCGTATGCTGCTACCTCACCAACACACTGAGCTCCAGGAGGTAGACCAACACCCAGACCTGCAGAACCAGAGCCAGGACCTCAGAGGACCGCTGCTCCGTCAGGCTGGAGGGAGGGAAAGTAGACTGGACTGAAAAGCAGCTTTCTAGCCTTTCCACAGATCCTGAACTTTGACTAGGCCATTCTGATCCACCTCTGATCTAAACCATCCATAGCATCTCACGCTGGATGTTCAGAAACCTTCTCCTGCTGGGAGTTGAACCCAGAACCATGCTGGATCCAGCAGAGCTGCAGGACCAGTGTTAATTTCATCAGCTTTTTAAATTTAGTCTTAGTCTTAGTCTTAGTCACAGTGACAAAAATCTATTTTAGGCTTAGTCAAATTTTTGTCATTTTAGTCAACACTGTAAATAATAGAAATTCTCCACACTCAGCTTCTCTTTTTCTCTATTTTATTTATATCACACTGTGCAGAATAAAACTTCACTGCTTCTCTTTTTAACATATTTCCCTCTGCAACCAGTGAACCTTCAGTCAGATGGTTTCATCATATCTACAGTCTTCATCCTCAGACTTCCCTTCCTCCCCCAACAGCTGATCTGGCTGTGATGTCACTGTGTCAGGAATCTAAACGATTAATATCCTGCGTGTCCCGGGCCCGTGACATCATCAATGATACCCCACCCCCCCACCATGGACTGTTCTCCCTGCTGCCCTCTGGGAAGAGGCTTCACAGCATTCAATGCAGGACCAGCAGGTTCTGCAGCAGCTTCCTCCCGCTGCGGGGCCACCCTTTCCTCCCGCTGTGGGGCCGCCCGTTCCTCCCGCTGTGGGGCCACCCTTTCCTCCCGCTGCGGGGCCACCCTTTCCTCCCGCTGTGGGGCCGCCCGTTCCTCCCGCTGTGGGGCCACCCTTTCCTCCCGCTGCGGGGCCACCCTTTCCTCCCGCTGCGGGGCCGCCCGTTCCTCCCGCTGCGGGGCCACCCTTTCCTCCCGCTGTGGGGCCACCCTTTCCTCCCGCTGCGGGGCCACCCTTTCCTCCCGCTGCGGGGCCGCCCGTTCCTCCCGCTGTGGGGCCGCCCTTTCCTCCCGCTGCGGGGCCGCCCGTTCCTCCCGCTACGGGCCGCCCGTTCCTCCCGCTGTGGGGCCGCCCGTTCCTCCAACTGTTACGGGGCCGCCCGTTCTGCCAGAGCAGCTGATCTGGGAGCTGGCAGGGAGTCAGACGCAGCACTGCTGATGCAGAGCGCTATGATCACTCCTCTGAAACAGTTTATTAACGCCTAAATTAACTAAGAATGTAGAAACCTGCCGGCAGAATATGTTGGCTTTTATTATCTGCAGTTTGGATTACGTACGTGGAAAACGCCTTCCAGCCGCCGCAGCAAACCGCGAGGAGGCAGCGGGCCTGAGGCAGCTGCTGCTGGGGATTCCCAGTGACAGCGCAGCGCCGGTATGTGGGGGTCTGAGCGGCTCCCACAGAGAAATAATCTTTGAAGGCAGGATGGTAATCTGGATGAACTGACTGCACAGACCATGTTTTCAGGAGGACTTTCTCACTTCAACATAGATTCTAACTACTTTCTACCCGCTGATCACAGCTAATATAGCCGCCATTGTTCCAGGCAGAGAAAGGATAGAGTAGCTCCGCCCACCGCGCATCAGACCCACTTTACCATCGCGCAGCTAGAGCAGCAAAGATGCTTCAGCTCAGAACTAAACTGGTTTAAGCATCAGAATGAAGCAGGACGCCTTCCTGCTGCTCCTGCTGCTTTAGGTGTGAACGTAGCATAAAGTTTATCCTCTGAGTTTAGAAACTGAATCACTTTTAAAGCAGGTTCCTGCTCTGATGTTCCTCATTAAAAGTCCAGCTGTTTGACAGACAGGAAGTGGAGCAGACTCTCTGCTCCGTCAGTCCTTCCATGAGCGGGCGTAGCAGGCCTGACCCTCTGATGGATGCTCCACCCTCTGGTTGGAGATGTTTGGCAGTGAAATCATGTCAAGCCTTTTTTTTTTATTCAGCAGAGTGAACAAACTGCACACCCAGTCTTACAACAGAGATAATTAATGATAACATTGAACACGAGTCCAAAGGTTGAGTAAGACGGAACACACCCAGATTTATAACTCTGAGCTCCAAGCTGAGGCCGTCTGCATGTTCTATGTTTTTATTTTCCTGGCCTCACCTTCATCCAGCCGCATCCTGACCAGGTGTCTGTGTTTGTGTCTCAGTCCTGGATACCGCCGGCCAGGAGGAGTTTGGAGCAATGAGGGAGCAGTACATGCGCTCTGGAGAAGGCTTCCTGCTGGTGTTTGCTCTCAACGACCGGGGCAGGTAATGGCCTGTTCATCACGTGTCTGTGTGTTTCCAGCATCTCAGTCTCTCTGAGGAGAATCTGCAGCAGCATAATTCGGAAGCTTTCAACAATCACTAGATTATACTAGAGAGGACACGCAGTAAAGGCTCCTGTCACACCTTGATGATTCATCCAGCCTGACGTCCCAGAATCTCCTAAAACGCTGAACTTTCTATGGATTCCTTCTATTTTGGGCGTAAACATAGAGCAGGGATAAAAGTTAAAATCTTTTAGTTATGAATAAAGAAAATCATCAACCAGTAAAGGTCAGGAGACGTTTTTAATTATAATCTGTTACTTTAAACAGAATTTAACACAAATAAATTGAGGTGTTTATGCATTCATGTTATATATTCACTTTTAAAAAAAAGTTGAAAATTAGAAAATTGTTCCATTTTAAAGTCTAAACTGTTTTTTTAAGTATAGAACAACAATCGTTCAGTTTGGTTTATAGATAATTTCCTGATTCCCATATTTTCTCAAACCCCTGAACTGATGGTTTGTTCTTTTCTTTCTTTTTTCTGTCTTAATGTTGGCAGTGGGCTTTAGGCTGCCCTGCAAGGCTTTAAACCTGGGTTTAACCGGAGACTAAGCCATTCTCAAGCACATATCAAGGAGCTCATTTTGAGCCTGGATCCAGATTTATTGTTGATTCTGTTCATGGTGGAGAATCCTGCTTCACAGCAGCAGGTTGAGCCAAACATCCTCTAAATGTGCAGGGTCATCTTTGAGCACGCCATTTCACTTTTCTTTCACCAGTTCACCGCAGTTCCAAGCTTTAGCCTGGACCCATCCAGAATATAGTGTTATGTGTTTCATTGACATCCAGGCTCCGTACCCAGAGCTCAGTCCAGTGCATTTCAGAACAAACATGGATTATGCTGATATTTAAAAAATGACACTGAGGTCAGGCTGACTCTTAATGAGCCTAATGGCTGCGTAAAAACTAACGCATTCACCTCCTTATTTCTCCACATCTACAGTACAGACCAAATGTTTGGACAGCTTCTCATTCAAAGAGTTTTCTTTATTTTCATGACTGAAAATAGTAGATTCACCCTGAAGGCATCAAAACTATGAAAGAACACATGTGGAATTATATACTTAACAAAAAAGTGTGAAACGACTGAAAATCTGTCTGATATTCCAGGTTCTTCAAAGTAGCCTCCTTTAGCTCTGATCACTGCTTCGCTCTCTCTTTCATTCTCTTGATGAGCTCCCAGAGGCCGTCACCTGAAATGGTTTTTCCATCGTTCATGAAGGAGTTCCCAGAGATGCTGAGCACCTGTTGGCCCTTTGCCTTCACTCTGAGGTCCAGCTCACCCCAAACCATCTGGACTGGGTTTCAAACCGGATGGAATAGCATGGCGCTGTAAGATGCTATGGTAGCCATGTTGGCTCAGTATACCTTCGGCTTTAAATCCCCACCATCAAAGCACCCCCACACCATCACACCTCCTCCTCCATGCTTCATGCTGGGAACCAGGCATGTAGAGTCCATCTGTTCATTTGTTCTGCGTCACACAAAGACACGATGGTTGGAAGCAAAGATCTCCAATCTGGACTCATCAGACCAAAGGCCAGATTTCCTCTGGTCTAAGGTCCGTTCCTGGTGTTCTTTAGCCAAAGCTAGTCTCTGCTTGTTGCCTTAGCAACGGTTTCCTAGCAGCTCTTCTACCATGAAGGCCTGATTCACACAGTCTCCTGTTAACAGATGTTCTACAGATGTTTCTGCTGCTAGAACTCTGCTTCATTGACCTGCTCACTAATCTGAGCTGCTGTTAATCTGAGCTGCTGTTAATCTGAGCTGCTGTTAATCTGAGCTGCTGTTAATCTGTGGTTTCTGAGGCTGGTGACTCAGATGAACTTCTCCTCAGCAGCAGAGGCGACTCCTGGTCTTCCTCTCCTGGGGGGCTCCTCATGTCAGTTCATTTCTTTAAGGGCGCTTGATGGGCTTTGCGACTGCACTTGGGGAAACTTTCAAAGTTTTTTAATTTTTCAGACTGAATGACTTTCATTCCTTAAAGTAATGATGGCCGCTCGTTTTTCTTTACTTAGCTGCTTTTTTCTTTCCATAATCCAAATCCTAACAGTCTGTTCAGCAGGACTATCAGCTGTGGATCCGCCTGACTTCTGCTCAACACACCTGATGCTCCCACCCCCATTTATAAGGCAAGAAATCCCATTTATTAAACCTGACAGTGTACACCTGTGAAGTAAAACCATTTCAGGCGACGGCCTCTGGAAGCTCATCAAGAGAATGAAAGAGAGAGCGAAGCAGTGATCAAAGCTAAAGGAGGCTACTTTGAGGAACCTGGAATATCAGACAGATTTTCAGTTGTTTCACACTTTTTTGTTAAGTATTTAACCCATTTAGGCCGGGAAAGCATTACCGCATTTCTACCATTCAAGCCGGGGGCGCTGTTGCGTAATTCTACCATTGACGCCGGGAGAGCATATAAGTCAAGCAAGAAGAAAGAAGTTTTTTTCAAGCAAACATGGAGGAGTTTGACAGAGAAGAGTTGTCGGAAGGCAGTGATTTTGAGGAGTGTGTCGGCTTTGATGACGGTATAGATGAAAATGATGACTTTGAACGCGCTGAACCAATCGAACTACCACCGCAATGCACGGAGTGTTTTCAACCGCACACCTGGAGTGAAAGTTGATTTGCCTGCAGACGCCACACCGCTGCAGGCATTTGAGCATATTTTTAATGAAGAACTTTGGATGCATCTTGTTACCGAGACGAATAGGTACAGTGACCAAACAAACCAAACTCCAACAAGAGCAAAGATGGCAAAGTGGTCACCCGTGACTGTGACGGAGATGAAGACATTTATTGGGCTGTGTATGGGCATAGGACTTCTTGTGTTGCCAGTAGGCTACGAAGAGATTATTGGCGACAGAGTAAACCTCTCTTCAGGACGCAGTTCCCCCAAAATATGTCCCGGGACAGATTTGTGGCCATCTGGAGGTAAGTTGTATGCAATTTATAACACAGACATATGCATTATTATGCATAATAATACTGTTAATAAGTAATCATCAGATAGTTATTTATGTAATGTTTGTTCTTTATTTTAAAAACGTTTTATATTGCACATTCTCAATGAAGACATGATCACATATGGAAAAAATAAAGGTTGAATTTTTTATTTTTTTATTACTGCTTTTCACTTTTTTTTTTTGGAAGAATTTCAAAGATAAAATATATTTTGAGTTCTATCTGCTACAGAAGCTGAGATATCAATAATTTACTAGGCGTTGACACAGTTGCTGAATTTACAGAAAAACTTCAGGTTTTAGGGGTATTTTTTAAAATCGGCCATAGGTTTTTAAGGTGTTTTTTCCAGGCGTTTTAGGCCTAAATGGGTTAATTCCACGTGTTAATTCATGATTTTGATGCCTTCAGGGTGAATCTACAATTTTCAGTCATGAAAATAAAGAAAACTCTTTGAATGAGAAGCTGTCCAAACGTTTGGTCTGAACTGTAGATCAGACCAATTCTGTGAAAACATGAACCTTGAGATCCTGTAATGGACTGACCAAGAGGACTTGCAGGCATGTGATCAGCAGCAGACAGAGGCGGGCTCTGAAAGCGGGCGTGAGAGGACCAGGTTCTGATGGTCGGACTCTTTAGAACAGGTGCAGCATTGCTACACCTGTGCAGAGCCGCCTCATTGCAGCTGGAGGTGGATCAGAGAAACAAATCAGGACTGATCTGTTTGCATATTAAGGGGAGATATGAACATAGCCCACATGGAGAAAAGAGCGAAAAAGAAGTGGGCTTAATTATCTGAAGTACAATATGAGTGGAAGATCTATAGAGATTGCAGACAGTAGCTCACACAGCTAATACCTGTATTCATTGAGTCTTTCCTGGATCCAGACGGTGATCCGGATCATCACCAAAATGGAATCATTTGTTGCCAGTCAGGAAACGCACCTTTTCTGAAAATGTCAATAAAATTAAAGAGACAAACGAACCAGCACTGATGAGAACAGAAACTCCTTAGTGAAGGTAAAACGATCTTTAACCTCCAACTTTACTCTTAAAAATAGTCACTGTGAACCAGAGCGTAACCAGCGGTTGGTTAGCAAAAGAAACACACTGTGGTTGAGGCTGTGTGTGATGTCATCAGTAGAAGCTAGAAACACATCTGGTGACAAAACGTGTGAAATTAATTATAACTCACTATCTACGACACTCAGAATATCCCCACAGTCAAGCTGCTGAAGGGGACAAAAACAAGACTTTTATAACAGGAGATGATTTCAGTAAAGCTGATTGATTTAAGGAGGAACAGGAACAGGTTCAGCACTAGTGCAATCCTGGAAGAAGAGGTGGAGGAGTAGAAATCCCTCGGTGTTCACCTGGATAACAACCTGGAGACACAACTGAAGCCGTCTCCAAGAAGGGACAGAGCAGACTGGACTTCTAGAGGAAGCTGAGGTCCTTCAGAGGCTGCAGATCTTCTATCACACTGCTGAGGAGAGTCTGGTCTCTTCCTCCATCATCATCATCAGAGCTAATGACGGAAAGAAGCTCAAGCAGCTGATAAAGAAGGGCGGCTCTGTTCTAGAAACTCCTCTAGAACCTCTGGAGATGAAGACGATGATGGACAGCAGTGAGCATCCTCTTCATCAGACTGATAGACACCAACAGAGGGTCTTCAGTCAAAGGATTTTCCAGAACCTCTGCAGGAGATCCTTCCTGCTGCATAAGAGAAAAAACGTTAAGACATTTGATTTCCATTTGGGATCCTTTAATATCTTTGAATTGAACTAAAATAGCTTAGCTGCAGTTGTACTTCCTGCAGTCGATTCATCTAAGAGAGAAAATGATGAGCTCTGGGTCAGCTGGGAGCACATCCAGTTAGTTCCTGTAAAATCTCGGCCTACAGCTATAATAGAGAGTCGAGCTACTATGATGAGAAAAAGCAGAGCAGATGGAGTAAGTCCCTGTAAAGCTCAGCTGATACCTATAGAGGAGAGTTAGCCAACGAGAGACTAAACCAGACAGGAAGCAGCAGCACAGCTGATATTTCTCTCCAGGATGGAGAATAGAGATAGAATGAAGCAGAATGATGAAAAAGGGGTCCCTATGTCCTCCAGCAGTCTAAGCCTATAGCAGCAGAACTATAGAGATAGCTCAGGATAACCTGAGCCACTCTAACTAGAAGCTTTATCAAAAAGGAAAGTTTTAAGCCTAGCCTTAAAAGTAGACGGGGTGTCTGCCTCACGGACTAAAACTGGTAGTTGGTTCCACAGGAGAGGAGCCTGAGAACTAAAAGATCTGCCTCCCATTCTACTTTTAGAAATTCTAGGAACCACTAGTAAACCTGCAGATTGAGAGCGAAGTGCTCTGTTAGGAACATAAGGAACAATCAGATCTCTGATATCAGATGGAGCTTGGCCATTTAAGGCTTTATATGATTTAAATTCTATTCTAGATTGAACAGGATCAAAGCATGTTTTTGTTTTTCTTCTTTAATGGTTTCCATCATAGAGCTACCTGCTCATCGTGGTCCAAACATTCGTGACGTGTTCACACTTCTGGTCGTCTTTGTGTTCAGATGGAGGCTACTTTTTCATCTTCTTGAAAAACGATGGAGTTTTTTAACAGTAGAGCTACAAACTCTAGAAATAACTAAAACGGGACTTGATGTGAAAGTTCTGATCAAAAATAACACCAAGAGTTTTTACTTTATTATCCGAGATGAATTTAATCCCAATCAACTGAGAATCGGCCCCAGCACTCATGGAAGGCATCCTGTGGCTTCCTGTTAGCAGAGAGAATATTTTATGTTGGGGTTGGAGTCACTGACGCTGCTGTTTGTACCTAATGCTAGTTTAACATCTTAAACTGACTCCTAAGTTGGGTTTTTCTGCAGTGGTGCAGACTGTTATATGCGCACGGTCACCACTTTAACACGTCTTGGATTTGCACATGGCCGCCTAAAATTAGCAGAGGTTTGCATCGAGCCCCATCATTGGTATGAAATCCATTTTTAGAAAGCAGGAGGCGCTTTTTGTTTGTGTTCTTCTGGTGCCTCTTTTGGCCGACGATCATCTCGTTTCTTTGTTCATTTCAAAGTGGTTCTTGTTGCGAATGATCTTCTCTGAGGTGAGGGAGCGTCGGTGAGCTCAGAAAAACTCCGATCATCAAGATCTGTGGCTAGCGCCATTAAAAGCAGCCATAGTTGTCATTAATGTAAAGCTGTCACAGGGCTTAATTACATAAAATCATTTCCTATTCTTCAGTATTGTCCTTCAGGAAAGTACTGAAGAATAAGAAGTGATTAAAAAAGGCTGCCTGGCCTTTGAAATACGCTTAAAATAAAATCGCATTGTGGAATTTTAAAGAACTTAAAAATAAAAGGTTAAAAAAACATTGTAGTGGAAAAAACATATTCAACTATTCACCCTAGTTAAATAAAAGGAGATCGATGGATTTCATTCAATCTGCACTTTTATTTTCATATCTTTGCAAAGAGAGAACAGTTGATCAGCGTTCTGCTCTGTTCTGACTGAGCAGAGTTTGTCACTGTGAAGGTTGTCAGACTCAAAAATCTACATTTTCCGACCACACCATGATTACGCAATCAATTAAGGCAAGATAAATAACCTCTTGATTTAAAAAAATTAAAATTTTCATTTAGCTTCATATATCGATTATACAGAAAGCGGTGAATGTGGGCGGTGTGTGAGAACATTTTACAGGAGGAAACAAGATGGTAGGTCAAAAAAAAAACCTAAATAAAATCTCTTCAGTTTGTCAGAAACATTTTTAGTTTTAGGGATCTTCCATCAAAGGTCACCTGATGGTTTTCCTAGCAGCTGATTGGCTGCTGGGTGGAGCCTTTTCTAGGATTCAGATCCATCCTGCAAGCTAGCCTGTTCCGCAGCAGGTTAGCCGTTCACAGTCCGTTACCATGGTAACCAGCCTAGCTGAGAATCCAGCTGCCTGGTACTGGAGGCTCAGGAGGATGATGATGATGATGATGATGGTAGCCAGACCAACACTTCTTTTCTCACTATTGCAGCACCATATTTGGTGGGTCACGCACTGCGGCAGACAGTAGAGGGCGCTCTCTACCACATCCTGACAGCTGCAGCTAAATCACTGCAGTGTTTAGCTTCCAGGCTCTTCATAGAACATAAATGGTCTTGGTCTGAGAACCGGGTTAGTTTAACAACTCAGTAGTTTGCAGTGGAACCGGTCCTGATGCGGTTTTTGGTGCATCCTTTGGGGGGGGAGGCTGCTGCTTCTCCTTCCTGTTCTTTAAATGCCTCTTTGTTTGTGTTGGTTCTCATCGCTCCAGTTTTCATGAGGTCCAGAAGTTCCACACCCAGATCCTGAGAGTGAAGGACCGAGATGACTTCCCCATGGTGCTGGTTGGAAACAAAGCGGACTTGGAGCAGCAGAGAGTGGTAAGACTTCCTGTGTCTCACTGATGTCCTCTGTTCTCAGTCTGTCCCTGAAGGACATCAGTTTGTCCATATTATTGCTTCCTGGTTCTGTTGGACCCCCAGAGATTTCAATTGCAGTTCTATTCAGTTTATTTCTATAGCTCCAACCATAGGCGGATCTACTGGGGTGGCATAGGGTGGCAAATGCCACCCTAAATGACAGCCTTGCCACCCCAGCTGCCACCCCAGTTGGCGGTAGGGGTGGCTAGGCTTATAAATTATGGATCATTTGAGAATTACGACCGCTAATTTCCAATGTCGGACTGCAGTGAATGCAGCACGAGATGACGTGAGAGCGACTGAGACTGATTGTTTTGAAAACCGAATGAGGCAAAGCGAGGGAGCCAGGGGTGATGGGGAGAGGAGAAACGGGATGAAACAGGTAAAAACTGATTAACTATCTATCGAGAAATGAAATCATAATGAAAGCACAATGTTGCTAGCATAGCTGCAATGCTGATTTACAGATGATAAAAATCAGGTTGCAGAACGTTATTTCTCTATCTATGATGTTAGTTAGGCCTGACGTCTCAGGCTAATAAAGACATATTTGCGGTCAACTATGACAGAAAAGAGACGATCAAGTTTGGTTGTACTCAAATCAAAACGCACAAAGGCATTGGATCTAAATACATTAGTGAAGCGTTTTGCTGAGCAGCATGGAAATCACTGCATTCAGCTGTTATAGTCATGTTAACTTTATGTTCTGCTCTCTGGTGAGCCTTTACAGAGCTGTTACATTTTGTTTTGGCACCTGAGAAAATCTGATATTTCCTTTAATAAAACCAAAAGTGTTAAAAGTTAAAAATGTGAAACTGGTGTGAATCCTGCTTAATATGAAGCAGTGTTGTTGTTTCTTTTTTTGTATATATAGTATGAAACTATCCAGAAATGACCCGTATGAACCTACTCACAAGCAAAATGTATTTTTATGTTGCTTCTTTTCAGATTTGTGGAGATTTTGATGTAACATACAGAACCCGCCTTTTTGTTGATTTGTTGATACAGCAGTATGGAGGACCAACTCTGCCATATTTAAAAATAAATACAGAAATAAATAAAAGCTTAATAAATAAATAAGCATACAATTGATTGCCACCAAAAATACAAACAACAAATAAATGTAAGTAGAAATTAAATTATACAGCTAGTCATACAGGTATATAACTCCTTTAATTGGCTTTTTTATTTCTTTGCCTTTTTAATATTTACCTTATTTATTTTTTGTCATTTATTATCTTCAACTTCATTTTTTAATTACTTATATTTTTAAGTATTTATTTATGTGCATGTTATCATATTTTTGTCTGTTTTATTCTTCCTTTGTATTTCTTTACCCTAGTTATTTCTTCGCCGCTATTTCTTTCTGCCTGCCCTTTTAACATTTCTGCCTGCCATTATAATATAATTTCTAATTACATTTATTTGTTGATTGTATTTTTGGTGGTAATTAAATGTATGCTTATTTATTTATTGAGCATTTATTTATTTCTGTATTTATTTTTAAATATGGCAGAGTTGGTCCTCCATATACAGCTCTATTTACAGCATATTTACATGCATGAAACGTCCCTTTCATGTTGCCTTAACTGCTGTATGTCAAGTTACTGAGGGACAAATGGGGTAAATGTGTGTTCAGAGTAAACATTACATAGATGTCTGGTACCTTGTTCAGGTGCCTTGACCCATTTATTTCTACTGTGTAGTTCTGCTCACTTTAGTGCAGCTCAGTCAATAGATCTCTGATGGGAAACTTTTTCTTTCTATAGTTTCTTCTTGTGCAAATGCTGCAAAGCTGCCTCTCTGACAGTCAATCTCACACATCTGAACCTCAGCACCTGTGTCTTACCTTAATACCTTTCCTGTCATAAGGCCCCTCTAGAAGTAGTGTTATCATTCTTCTATCTCCTATTAAGTGAGATCACATTGTACGATGTATTATTAATATGAACTGTTTCACATGAAACACTAGTACTGTACATACTATTCTCACCAAACTGTGATAACTGTGATTAAATTCAGTGTAAACAAATGCCATATGTTGCCACCCCTAAAAAATTCCTGCCCCCCTCTTGCAACCCCATAAATATTTTTCTAGATCCGCCCCTGGCTCCAATTCACATCATGTCATCTCAGGTCACTTTCCAGATCACCAGATCATCCAGTCAGATTGATTCAAAGTTTTCTATCTAAGGAAAACCAGCTGATTGCATCGACTCGTTGACTCTTCAGCAATCCCTCACACTAAGCATGCTTGTAGCGACAGTGGAGAGGAAAAACTCCCTTTGAACAGGAAGAAACCTCCAGCAGAACCAGGCTCAGTGTGAGCGGCCATCTGCTGAGGCCCACTGGGGTTCAAGGAGACAGAAGCAGACATAGAAAAAGAAGCATAGATACAAAAGGCAGCTGTAAAAGGCGGCTCCGTCCAGGAAACACACAGCCAGGCAGACGAGCTCCGAGCCAGCTCCCATGTCAGAGGATGAAGAGAGCACATCCAGTTAGTCACAGTCAGAGAAACCGGGCTGCACTGGAAAACAGGCCAAGCTCCAACATCTAGAAACAAAGGTGTTGATGGCAGCAGTACAGCTGATATTTCTCTCCAGGATGGAGTCACAGCCAAACAGGAACAGACCAGATGAAGCTACTATGAGAAAAAGCAGAGAGAGCAGGTTTTCCCAAAGTTTGTTAAATTCATCTACTTCATGATGCCATCATCGTTCTGCTTTCACTCACCCAGAAGTCTTAATAAGGAAAATAAAGTGTTAACAGAATGAATTAGTATTCAAATAATCACATATGAAATTTATACAGAAAAAAACTCTAAGATCTAAATGAAACTAACTTTATATCCGGGATAGGACCGACTCCTAAAGGCTCCTCACCGGTTTTAAAATCACTTTATTCATGGAGGGATCACAGCATTCTGTTATTCATTACTTCATTTGTTTGATTAAAAAATCTTTTCATAACAACAAGAGGAAAGAAAAGCATTTTCATTTTTCAATTGATAATTTTACAAGAAAAAGCAGACGTTTTTTTTTATTTCCTTTGGCTCTGAGGTGGTTTTAAGAAGCACAAGCAGCAGCTGGAAGAGGATGGTTCAATCACAGCAGATCTCCAGTCAAGAAGGTTCAGTAGAAACCTGGAAGGTTTTGGAGAAAAACATATAAAATCATTTCAGAAAGTGTTCCAGAGGCAAACATTTAATAATGAGCAGCCTAATAAATGTAACGTTTTCATCCAGAGGAAAATCTGAGGATTTTTATTGTGATCTAAATACATGAAATGACTCCATCATTTATTCACTGTGAGAAACATTTGGAACGTCAAGAACAACAAAACAGCAAATTTTGACATATTTCTGATGTCGCTGATAAAGAGACGTTATAACAGCTCAAAATCAGGCAAAAAGTTATATTTTATATAGTTAGTGGGGACGAAAAATAAAAAAATGAAGCAATCATTTTTCCGTATTACTTTTTAAAATGTATTTTAATAAAAAGTTCTTTGATTTTTAACAGGAACTAAGCTAATGTATCTATGCTTCTTTTTCTATGTCTGCTTCTGTCTCCTTGAACCCCAGTGAGCCTCAGCAGATGGCCGCTCACACTGAGCCTGGTTCTGCTGGAGGTTCCTTCCTGTTCAAAGGGAGTTTTTCCTCTCCACTGTCGTTACAAGCATGCTTAGTGTGAGGGATTGCTGAAGAGTCAATCAGCTGGTTTGAATCAATCTGACTGGATGATCTGGTGAACTGGAAAGTGACCTGAGATGACATGATGTGAATTGGAGCTATAGAAATAGACTGAATAGAACTGAATTAATGTAGACGGATCTACAGGTTTGGATCAGACTCGTCCTACCTGTTGGTGTCTGATGATAAACAAAGAAATGATTGAGCTGCTGTCTGCAGATCTCCAGGGAGGACGCTCAGGCGTTTGCCAGAGAGAACAGGATCCACTACATGGAGGCTTCTGCTAAGAATCGCTACAACGTGGATGAAGCTTTCATGGAGCTGGTGCAGATCATCAGGTAGGGAATGGACATCTGAAGCAAAGACCTTCTGTGTATTAAGGTGGTCCAGGGTTCCAGATGGGGAGTTCAGGGACCTGCCGGATGTCAGTAATCTGAGCAGAGGCCATAATGCAGGGTCTCTGGTTCTTTGCTGATTTTTGAACTCATCTTATTTTCTTCTTCCTCATCCAGACGCTTCCACGAGATGGAGAGTCCTCCTCCTCCAACCAACCAACAAGGGAAACCTGGCGGCCGTGGCTGTCCATGTGTCATCCTGTAGGCGCCGTTACCATGGAAACCAAGCTCTCATCCTGCTTGTGCATTGAAGGGTGTGGGTGTTTGTGTCAGAAGGAGTGACAGCCAGGGGTACCAACAAGCCTTCCAGAACATTTTCCGTAGCTTTTCTTCATTTAGCCTCGCTGTTATTCTGAGGGGAGACTGATAGCAGCCTCCCTTCATCAGAGCTCCACCAATCTGACGGACCGCTATGCTGAAGCTCATGAAGAATTCATCCCCAGATTCTGGATGTGCAGACATGATGAATGAGTCAGAGGATTTATCAGGCTGCTGTCATGTGGCTGATCTTTTTCTTCAAGAAGGGGGCAGCAGTGGGCAGCTCCAGTTTGTGCTTTCTTATAGATAGATAGATGTATTTCAATCATCCCAAAGGGAAACTCTGCACTGAGCAACTGAAGGCAGCCTGTTCCTTCAGCCGCCAGCTTCCATCTTAAGCTGTGCCTGGGGTCTGTGGGTTATCTCAGCGGGGGCTTTGGTGATGCACCTGCGTCTTGTTCGGTACAATGCTTTGGTGAAAAAAGGTTAAACTTCAGCTGGAAGCAGCAGGAGTCTTTCTTTAATTGTTCTTTTAAGGCACCTTTAAACTCTAGGAGCTTCCTCTATTTCTGCATCGTCTCTGCCAGAAAAAAGGCAGAGCAACAGGTAGTAGGCTACTAATCCCAGATGGGGAGTATTTTAGAGTCTAGCCTGAACCTTTAGGCTGAAGTGGAAGGAAGGATTCCTAGGACCTTGTGTTAAAAAAACCATTATCCCCTTGATGTTGCAGCCATTCCGCAGTTGCCAATATTTTCTGTTAGCTTGAATAAGTTTAAAATCACAGATCTGGTTTTGATGATCTATGATCATCCCGTCAGAGCCCCCGCTCATCTCCTCAGAGCCCCCGATCATCCCGTCAGAGCCCCCGCTCATCTCCTCAGAACCCCCGATCATCCCGTCAGAGCCCCCGCTCATCTCCTCAGAACCCCCGATCATCCCGTCAGAGCCCCCGCTCATTTCCTCAGAACCCCCGATAATCCCATCAGAGCCCTCGATCATCATGTCGGAGCGCCTGATCATCCCGTCAGAGCCCCCCATCATCATGTCAGAGCCCCCGATCATCCCGTCAGAGCCCCCGCTCGTCTCCTCAGAACCCCCGATCATCCCGTCAGAGCCCCCGCTCATCTCCTCAGAACCCCCGATCATCCCGTCAGAGCCCCCGCTCATCTCCTCAGAACCCCCGATCATCCCGTCAGAGCCCCCGCTCATCTCCTCAGAACCCCCGATCATCCCGTCAGAGCCCCCGCTCATTTCCTCAGAACCCCCGATAATCCCATCAGAGCCCTCGATCATCTCCTCAGAACCCCCGATCATCCCGTCAGAGCCCCCGCTCATTTCCTCAGAACCCCCGATAATCCCATCAGAGCCCTCGATCATCATGTCGGAGCCCCTGATAATCCCGTCAGAACCCCCCATCATCATGTCAGAGCCCCCGATCATCCCGTCAGAGCCCCCGCTCATCTCCTCAGAACCCCCGATCATCCCGTCAGAGCCCCCGCTCATCTCCTCAGAACCCCCGATCATCCCGTCAGAGCCCCCACTCATCTCCTCAGAACCCCCGATCATCCCGTCAGAGCTCCCGTTCATTTCCTCAGAACCCCCGATAATCCCATCAGAGCCCTCGATCATCATGTCGGAGCCCCCGATCATCCCGTCAGAGCCCCCGATCATCTTGTCAGAGCCCCCGATCATCCCGTCAGAGCCCCCGCTCATCTCCTCAGAACCCCCGATCATCCCGTCAGAGCCCCCGCTCATCTCCTCAGAACCCCCGATCATCCCGTCAGAGCCCCCGCTCATCTCCTCAGAACCCCCGATCATCCCGTCAGAGCCCCCGCTCATCTCCTCAGAACCCCCGATCATCCCGTCAGAGCCCCCGCTCATTTCCTCAGAACCCCCGATAATCCCATCAGAGCCCTCGATCATCTCCTCAGAACCCCCGATCATCCCGTCAGAGCCCCCGCTCATTTCCTCAGAACCCCCGATAATCCCATCAGAGCCCTCGATCATCATGTCGGAGCCCCTGATAATCCCGTCAGAACCCCCCATCATCATGTCAGAGCCCCCGATCATCCCGTCAGAGCCCCCGCTCATCTCCTCAGAACCCCCGATCATCCCGTCAGAGCCCCCGCTCATCTCCTCAGAACCCCCGATCATCCCGTCAGAGCCCCCGCTCATCTCCTCAGAACCCCCGATCATCCCGTCAGAGCCCCCGCTCATCTCCTCAGAACCCCCGATCATCCCGTCAGAGCCCCCGCTCATCTCCTCAGAACCCCCGATCATCCCGTCAGAGCCCCCGCTCATCTCCTCAGAACCCCCGATCATCCCGTCAGAGCCCCCGCTCATCTCCTCAGAACCCCCGATCATCCCGTCAGAGCCCCCACTCATCTCCTCAGAACCCCCGATCATCCCGTCAGAGCTCCCGTTCATTTCCTCAGAACCCCCGATAATCCCATCAGAGCCCTCGATCATCATGTCGGAGCCCCCGATCATCCCGTCAGAGCCCCCCATCATCATGTCAGAGCCCCCGATCATCCCGTCAGAGCCCCCGCTCATCTCCTCAGAACCCCCGATCATCCCGTCAGAGCCCCCGCTCATCTCCTCAGAACCCCCGATCATCCCGTCAGAGCCCCCGCTCATCTCCTCAGAACCCCCGATCATCCCGTCAGAGCCCCCGCTCATCTCCTCAGAACCCCCGATCATCCCGTCAGAGCCCCCGCTCATTTCCTCAGAACCCCCGATAATCCCATCAGAGCCCTCGATCATCATGTCGGAGCCCCTGATCATCCCGTCAGAGCCCCCCATCATCATGTCAGAGCCCCCGATCATCCCGTCAGAGCCCCCGCTCATCTCCTCAGAACCCCCGATCATCCCGTCAGAGCCCCCGCTCATCTCCTCAGAACCCCCGATCATCCCGTCAGAGCCCCCGCTCATCTCCTCAGAACCCCCGATCATCCCGTCAGAGCCCCCGCTCATCTCCTCAGAACCCCCGATCATCCCGTCAGAGCCCCCGCTCATCTCCTCAGAACCCCCGATCATCCCGTCAGAGCCCCCGCTCATCTCCTCAGAACCCCGATCATCCCGTCAGAGCCCCCGCTCATCTCCTCAGAACCCCCGATCATCCCGTCAGAGCCCCCGCTCATCTCCTCAGAACCCCCGATCATCCCGTCAGAGCCCCCGCTCATCTCCTCAGAACCCCCGATCATCCCGTCAGAGCCCCTGATCATCCTGTCAGAGCTCCCGTTCATTTCCTCAGAACCCCCGATAATCCCATCAGAGCCCTCGATCATCATGTCGGAGCCCCCGATCATCCCGTCAGAGCCCCCCATCATCATGTCAGAGCCCCCGATCATCCCGTCAGAGCCCCCGCTCATCTCCTCAGAACCCCCGATCATCCCGTCAGAGCCCCCGCTCATCTCCTCAGAACCCCCGATCATCCCGTCAGAGCCCCCGCTCATCTCCTCAGAACCCCCGATCATCCCGTCAGAGCCCCCGCTCATCTCCTCAGAACCCCCGATCATCCCGTCAGAGCCCCCGCTCATTTCCTCAGAACCCCCGATAATCCCATCAGAGCCCTCGATCATCATGTCGGAGCCCCTGATCATCCCGTCAGAGCCCCCCATCATCATGTCAGAGCCCCCGATCATCCCGTCAGAGCCCCCGCTCATCTCCTCAGAACCCCCGATCATCCCGTCAGAGCCCCCGCTCATCTCCTCAGAACCCCCGATCATCCCGTCAGAGCCCCCGCTCATCTCCTCAGAACCCCCGATCATCCCGTCAGAGCCCCCGCTCATCTCCTCAGAACCCCCGATCATCCCGTCAGAGCCCCTGATCATCCTGTCAGAGCTCCCGTTCATTTCCTCAGAACCCCCGATAATCCCATCAGAGCCCTCGATCATCATGTCGGAGCCCCCGATAATCCCGTCAGAGCCCCCCATCATCATGTCAGAGCCCCCGATCATCCCGTCAGAGCCCCCGCTCATCTCCTCAGAACCCCCGATCATCCCGTCAGAGCCCCCGCTCATCTCCTCAGAACCCCCGATCATCCCGTCAGAGCCCCCGCTCATCTCCTCAGAACCCCCGATCATCCCGTCAGAGCCCCCGCTCATCTCCTCAGAACCCCCGATCATCCCGTCAGAGCCCCCGCTCATCTCCTCAGAACCCCCGATAATCCCATCAGAGCCCTCGATCATCATGTCGGAGCCCCTGATGATCCCGTCAGAGCCCCCCATCATCATGTCAGAGCCCCCGATCATACCGTCAGAGCCCCCGAACATGTCATCAGAGCCCCCGATCATCCCACAGATAAGAGGGCCTTTAAAATGCCTCCCAGTGAAATAAAGGCCTTACTTGTGTTGAAAAACCTTAATTAGCTTTATTTTTGTATGCTGGTGTCATTGTTTTGATCTGGACAGCTTGTCTCGCCTCCTAAGCTCTCATCAGGCAGGATGGTCTTCAGCAGCGGTCACAGTGTTCATGGTGACTGGATCTGCTGATAAAGCTTTAGGGAATCACAATAAAAACCTACTATAGTGGTTTTCAACCCGTGGCTGAGATGTTGGGCTGCAGATGGACCTTCTGCTTGTTGCTTTTATTGGTAATATGTTTATTGCTTTTTATAGTTTCTTTGTAATCTGAATGTGATCTCTCTGAAAGAAGCGTTTGTGCTCTCTGCAGTGTTATGGTTATGATGAACTTTTTGAGCCGCGTTCTCTTGGTTTCCATTTTGTTTTGCTCACATTCCTGCTGCTGGGTCTGTCCCTTAGACAGAGACGTGCTGTTTTCAAACTGGCCTGATCATGGCCAAACTCTCGGTAGTTAGACCAGATTCAGTTTCCAGCCGGAGCTGAAAGGTTTCCCTGAATCTCCAGCAGGTTTCTGATGCCGGTGCAGTCAGGAGCCTCCATCTTATCCGCTCTGGGTTCTTAGATCAGACAATCAGTGGGTGTTTGAGTAAACATGGATTATGATCTCACTAAAGCCTTTCCAAATGTTCACATTTATCCTATTTTTTAAAAAGTTTTCATATTTATGATCACTTGCAATTCACATAATCATTTTTTTTATTAAGGTCTTACATGTTTAAGAATCAATAAAACATTTCCAGGAACTGTGTGCTTGATTGGTCCTTTTTTGGTTGTTGGAGTGAAAGATTCCTGAGTTTGTAAATTTATTAGTATGATGTCAGTAATTATCTCCATCAGTCAACAATGGCTGGAGGTTTGATCCAGGAGAAAATCTTTTAATGCATAACGTCTCTGACTTATTAGTTTAAACATGTAAAACACCAAATGTAAGAACAGAAAAATTAATGCTAATAAGAAAAGTAAATATATTTTAAAGGAGGTGGTGTGGAAAGCTAGAAATAATAGTTAATCTAGTTAATCTTAGTGACATGGCGGGTAAATGACATTATTTTACACATGATTCTAGATATTCCAGTTGCCTGTAAATTTTGCTGAACTGTCCTTCACTGTTTCTGTCCTTTAAAAATGTCCTTTTAGTGTTGAGCCTAAAGGACAACACAGCATGGAACCCAAAAAGGACCATTAAGGGATCCCAGAAAAGAAATCAGCCCAGAATTTTTAAAAACTTCTGATTGTGGAGGGTCTGCAGGGAAAGTGGAAAAATTTGGAAACGGTCATGAGATAAAATGTAAGTAAAGAAATGAGAAGAAGACATGTTATTGTTTGAAAAGCTGAGGATAAAATAAAGTCTCATAGTTGTAATGCCTCTATCTTCATCATTCTTATAAGCTTCCTCAGCAGCAGTCGGAGGAAATGGATGCTTTCCTATCAGCACCACTCAGTTTAAACGGGACCAAATCTGTGACCCAATCTGAAATGTAGAAAGCTACAGGATTAATGTGACAGAAGATCATTTAAAAGGGAACGATGGAAACGTAGTTGAGGCAAGAGATGAAGACATTGATTACATTTCAATTTTAAACCGAATCAAATTGGATTCATTTAGCCTTGTTTGGGGGTGGATGTCCGGCCGGCTACCGGATTATACCTGGCGGCTGCTTCGTGGGGCCTGGACCCCCGGGGGCCTGGTCGGGGCTCCCACCAGGGAGCAGGGCGCCCCTGGGGCCTCAGGTACCTGGGGCCCATGGCTGCCAGCCGAGCCCACAGACTCGTCCCCGCGGCTCCTGGGGGCTCCGGCATTGCGGTGGCTGGGGGACTTCCTCGGGGCTGTCTCTCCTCCTAACTTGGTGGGGGTCTGATTTCCTGGGCTGGCCCCTCCTTGGTGCCTTCGCTCTTGGGGTCCCTTTGGGCGTCTGGGGCTTTGGGTCTCCCGGCACTGGACTCAGTGCTCTGGGGGGGAGGGGGCACCTCTTCGGCTCTCCACAACCACTGTTGAGCATTTTTCCTTTGGATCAACTTTACATGCAGTGCACTCTCACAATCAACTACAGGTGCTTGGTTCCAGGTACTCAGAGATTCACCTCCACACAGAAAGCCCATATTCTGATCTTCAGGTAACACAGAGTACATGTCAGATTAAATAATACTACTTCAGCGATAGTATCAAGGTGATACTTTATGGTATTTCTCGTAACATGTCCGTTCGTTGTTCTGTTCTTTTTCCATCTCTTTGCAGGTCATGAAGCAGAGTGAAGATGTTTTATTATCTCCTTTCTATCTTCATCTTTTCTCTTTTTTCTCTGTTTTTCCTGTCCTTCCTACATTAGAGTGTCCATAATACAAACGTCTTCAAACTTGGAAACAAACTCCAGTGGATTGTTTTGTTTTTTTTTTTTTACTTTTTTGGAACATTTTCTAACTGGCATGGCAGAAACCATTTTGGCTCTCACTGTCATTCAGATTTTAGGTTGTTTCTGTTTTGGTATCAGTTTCAGGTCTTTGTCAAGTCTTGCTGTTCTTTTTTCGGCTTATGGTTTAATTTCATTTAATGGTTGTTTTTTTTCTTAAGACTAAGTTTTTCTGGTTAAAATAAATTCAAAAATCCTTTATCACTGGATCCATAGCAAACTGTTCTCAATACTTTAGTCTTTTTTTATGTCATTTTTAAACATAAATATTTCTGGAAATGAAGAAGCTTTATTTGATTAATTGTTACGGATAATTTTAACCCTCTGCTGGCTGTTAAAACCCAGAGATTTTGGCTGAAAAATGATAAAAATGATGAAATCACGTAAATTCCCTTTATGTTTACCCAATAAAACGAACATTTATTAATATGATCTTTAGATGAATAGCTGGAGTTCTATGAAAGAGAAAAGAAGGCATTTCTTTGCTCATTTAGCTTCAGGTTGTCTTTACATTCCCCTTATGTGTGCACCCCCCTACCCCCTTTGAAAAATCCTAGATCTGCCTCTGCCTTGTCAACAGATTTAAAGGATCAAATTAATACAAAAAAACAGATGGAATCAATAAAAACAGGCTTTTCTTTGGTTCGTTTTTTAAAATGTAATCCAGCCAAGGATGTGATTGGCTGGAAGCAAGCATCACAAATGAATGTGTTTCGTCCTTCACTATGAGTTAGGATCGCTGAGTCCAGGTGAAAGGCACCGGAGGACGTCATGCAGAGAATGAACCTTTTGCTTCACCTACTGTCTCCTAACTTCTAGATCATCAAAGTTTGCTGAATGGTAGAATCTTAGAAAGTTGTTAACTCACATCTGGCAGGAAGATCAGGAATGTGTCTACTTGGATTCTCTATAATGAGACACCAGCAAGAAACTTTCAAGGAAAATAATTAGGATTCAGCGAGACCCAAACAACCTGTTCTGTCTGAAATCTGCTGCCCTCATTCGGACTTGAAGGTCATATGTCATCAAACCTCTCTTAGATAGTCTGTAAACATGGCGCTCTGGCCGCTCCCTACCCTGAGGACATCTGGGAAGCTGCTGCATGTCCAGCCGGTTGGTGAAAATTAGGGACAGTGCCTCATTTGCACACACACACACACACACACACACACACACACACACACACACACACACACACACACACACACACACACACACACACACACACACACACACACACACACACACACACACACACACACACACACACACACACACACACACACACACACACACACACACACACACACACACACACACACACACGTTGTGTCACAATATCCTTGTGGGGACCTTCCATGGACTTCCATTCATTTCCCACTAATTTATATGGCCTAACCGTGACCCTTATGACACATACCTATCCCTAAGCCTAACCTAAACTCAATTCACACCTTAGTGCTAAACCTAACCCCCACCCCAAGAAGAGAAACTTTCCTTATAGGGACCAGTTGTTGGTCCCCACAAGTACCTATGAGTCCCCAAAATGTAGCATATTCCTAGGAAATTGTCCCAACCAGGTATTAAAGACATGGCCACACACATACACACACACATTGGGTCAGAGATATAAACATACCTTCAGCGTTTCCCCCATGTTATTTTTTCTACCTGTGTTGCTTCTTCTTGCTCAGTTTCTTGTCATCTCAAACTTGATCCTTTGATTTTTCTCCCTCCTCTCATCGACTGTGATCCTTTTAAGGTCATTTTTTCTGACGTCAGCAGACCTCTGACCTCGGATGTCTGAACGCTAACCCCGTACTGCAACTGATCTTCACTCTACTGGAGTGCTGCTCCAGGCTGCGGGACAAATAAAGATGTAGTGATTCCGTTAAAATGGCCTAGTTATAGTTTTGGTCTAAATCCAATAGAAAATGTGGAAAGTCTTGGCAACAGTCCACATTCAATCAGACTAAACTTGGGCTGTTTAACTATCTGCTAAAGACCAGGAACTCCATCTACTGGAGACTACTAATAGAAAAGCATCATCAGAAAATATTTCCTAAGATCAAATCAGTTGATAAACTGGAAACCAGTCGCACTCGTAGATCCAGTCAGTTTCAGAAAACTTCATGAATCCTGAAACGATCAATTCAGCTTATTGAGGAAAAGCTTTTCTCTTAAAGGAAACCAGCAGATTGCATCCATTCATTGATTTTTCAAGATTCACTCTTTCTATGTCTGAAGGTGCGATCTGCTCACCTGGAGCGCAGGATTTACCTGTTAGGCAGAGACCTGCCAGTGATTGGCCTCCATGTTCTGAATGCTGGCGTACCATAAAGAATAAATGATGAACAGTTTAGTTTGTGCCTTCAAGTCGTTGCCCATAGGAAGATGTTACTGGATATAACCTAACGGAATATCTTCAAACGGCTCCAAATGACACTAAACTCATATGGGTGAGGAGAAGAGGATGGAATAACGGGAAATCAAGGGACCAATGGAAAAAAAACGGCGTTCCCCTTTAAGGCAGCGCTACAGGGACCCGCCCATGTTCTGGGGCCCTCGGCAGCTGTAAGAATGCGCCAAAGGCAGCATTCTGCGGCATGCAGTAAACCCCCCACCCCAATGAATGTGATGAATGGTTTGTACTGAAACTGAAGTCTCAAGGTCAGGGTCAGGATCAGGGTAAGCGTCAGGGTCAAGGTTTCAGGGTCAGGATCAAGATCAGGATCAGTGTCAGGAACAGGAACAGGATCAGTATGAGGGTCAGCAGGGGCGGATCCAGGATTTTTCAAAGGGGGGTGCGCACCTAAGGGTCATGGGGTCACGGGGTCACAGGTCAAGACAATGTGAGGCTAAAAGACCAAAGAATACCATCTTCACTCTTTCACGCTACCCTAATTATTCATCCAAGGGTTTTTAATTGATCATTTTAATGGATGAACATAAGTAGAATTAGCATGATTACATTATTGTAATTAAAAAAGGATCTCTCAGTTTTTAAAGCATGCACAAGGTTAAAAGGTAGTTTGAAGAAAAAAAATGATCCTTATCAACAATTAATCAAACAAGGAGTTTCTTTATTTCCAGAAATGATATTTACACAGAACATTAAATAAAAAAAATAAAAAAACAAGGACTTGGGTTCAAGTATGGTTCAAGTAAGACAAAGGAGTTTTGAATATATTTTAACAAGATAAACTGTTGAAAAACAAAAAAACGACCAAAGTTAAACCAGACAAAGAATATTGTTCTCTACTACAAACTTTATGATGATGATAATGGGTTTACAAATGTCAACCTTCTGGGCAAACATGTCTATGATTTTGTCGA